AAGTGGGAGAACTTGCACAATTGGTGGCTGACTAAATACTTTTTTGCCCCACTGTACAACAGATTTTGATTTAGAAATAAGCAGAGCTGTTTCAAAAACTAAAAAGCAAAGGAATGTTTATAAAGACAGAGAGAAAGCACTGTTTTCCTTTTTCTCAAGATCCCAAATGCCACTTTTACTGAGGGAGTAAAATTTACATGGGGAGGGTGTGCAGGGGTGTGAGTGCAGTGCAGTCAAGCTTGGGGAGGGTGCACGTAACTGCAGGGGAGCTGGGACGGCCGGAACTCCAAGGACTGGTCATAACCATTTGTTCAGCACCGTCATAACTTCAAATGGTCACTGAACAAATGTTGGTAAGTCGAAGACTACCTACAGTTCAAAAGAGATTCTCATTACACAGAATGGGATATTTCTGAAGACATCAACCATGATACATACAAATGAGTCTCTTATTAAACTAACTTCCAGCACTTGTGACAAAAAGAGGTTTATAAGTTTTGGAAGAGAAGCAGTAAAGAGTCATTAGATAAAAAATAATGTTATACAAAACTCACCATACAGGAGTTTTATTTGGATCCTATTCATAATAAAAGTTATTTTATATTCCCATTATTTTTATATATATAATTTTTATTAAGGATTTTAAACAGAAGATAAAAACTAACAAGAATTAATAGAAAGTAAAAAGAAAAGAACAAAAAAAGCCAAAAGAAAAAATAAAAATAAAAAGAAGTTACTTCCGATTTCCTTAAAAGCAAGAATTACAAATACAACATTACCTCTTACTCTATAGTTACAAAAACAAACTCTCTTTTTTCCTATTATTTTTTTAAATAATCAAAACCGTAAATCATTCATTTTTTCCTGTTTCATGAAAAAAGTCTATAAGAGCTTAAAGTCAACAATAAACATAGACCACATTATATTCCCATTATTGTAATGCTAATTATGTCCTTGTTGATAGATGAGTGAGCATCTTTACTTTATAAACAATTAGAAGCAGTAGAAGTTATATCTGCCAATACACATAAAGCATTAGTGCCCAGTTCCATACTTGCTGCTTATTCCTTGACAGACAAGTCCTGTTTCCACACTATAATCCTGTGGAAAAGGAACAATAAACCCTTTCCACTGTTCCTGTGCTTTGCCATAAAATTGGCAGACAATTTTATTTTTATTCATACTTTTATACATGAATAAAAGGATAAGAAAATGCCTTTCCATATACTGCATAAAAAGGAGGGTGAATGGAATACAGAATCTGCAGCTTTTAAAACAACTTTTGGAACACATCAAAGACAGAAAACAAACCTGACATACAATACAAAGAAATCTTTCTGCATTATTCTTTTGTCATAACTGAATTAGAAGTTGAAACATTCAACCCATCTACTATCATTATTAACATTAAAATTACTATTTGCTGTTTTCTCTAATGGGTGAAGGTTCATAGAATCTGTGAAAGTTGGAATAAAAATTGAGGTTGAATTAGTTATGGGAATCAATAACAAAAGTATATGTTTGCTTATAGTAATATAATATTACATATAATTCCCTTATTGTATCTCTTATATAACATCTCTCAAGAATTTTTTTTTTTTAATTGTGCCAATCTATGCCTGTTGGTGACTAACTGATTATAAAATTTATGCCTTGAAAAAACAAACCAAGATTCAAGAGTGTGTTCAGATGCAATCCTTCATCTTTCTATTCTTGCAATAATATACAGTACAGGTTGTTAGAATAACAGTTAGGGCCTTGGCACTAGTCTTACATCAAAACTACTATGTTGCCGCTCAAAGAATATGTCTGTAATGATCTTACACCATGCAGAATGCCCATGTCCCTCTTTTCATTACTTTGCATCCTTATCAGTTGTAAAGTAATTATGCAGTTTTTTTTTAACTAATGCATATGTACGCTTAAGCTATCTTTAATCAACATTCTGTATAAGACTGATATAAGACTGTGGCTCTTGCCGCATTTGGGTGCAAGAGTCCAGTGACCTGCTAACTTTGGAACAAAAGGATTGTCTGGAATCCTCTCCAGTTGTAGGTTTCATTGGGTGAGTTTTCCATCACAGATCTAACTTCAGGACTTGAGGCATTCAGACCAAGATATTTTCCAAAAGCTATAAAAGCTATTAAAAAATAGTTAATCTTATGATACTACAAAGTGCCTTGCTACATGATGATATAACAGATGTGTATCACCTTAAAGCAGATGGAAGAGGTATCCCGGTACAATGCTGCAGAATATTCACATTCATAAAGCATAAGCACTGTGGAGGTAAAGTGGGGCAAATGCACATCATGGCAACAGAGCTGCCATCTAGTGCTCAAAATTGAAGCAAAAGCAAGCTACTTTCAATTTCTATTTAATACTTTGGGTAGAGATTGTTAAATGAAGATCAATAAAGGAATCTATCTCTCTATAGCAATTTTTCCTTAAGTACATATACATTAATAGCTAGATTTGTCTTTCTTTTAAAATATGTAGGACTACAACCTGAAATGATGTCATTATCAGGGATTTTCTATACAGGAAATATAAATTCAAGCTGATTAAAATAGTCAAGTAGACTATTTTAAAGCAAAAAACCCAATAAAAATACAAGATACAAAATAATGCAACACTTTTTATTAATATCTAGAACAGTGTTATTTTAAATAGCACAATCAGTTTAATAAATTAGAAAATTCTACCTGTAAATGGGATACTCTGGAATCTTGCAGGATTGCTGGGCCAGGCATCTTTTGATCCAAAGGGTGAGGGCATACTTTCTGCTGATGGAGTATCTGCTGAAAAGTTTTCAAAGTCTTCTTCTTCTTCAACAGGGGATATTGAATCAGGAATAAGCAGTTTCAGTTCTATCAAGCCTGTAGGGTTTGAGTCCAGTTCTTTAATGATATTATCACATTCGGAAATAAAATCTTCACTATCTGGACTCAACAACTTCATGTTAGTGTTATGATCTCCTTCTGAGGAAGACAATGTCTGTTCCAAATTAGGTTGCAGAGTTGTTTCATCAATGCTGCCTTGGGTTTCATCTTTTGCTTGTTGGATCAGATTTAAATTTTTCATATTGTGCTCTTCTAAATTTAAATCTGGTAGGGGACTTTTAAGAGGACCATTGGTAGAGATAGCATCTGGATTATCTACATCTTTAGCTTCTGGTATTAAAGGTTTCCCCTTTAAGCTGTCTGCTTCTTGTGCATCCTTTTCAGCACATAGCCTATACACCATGACATCATCCTGAAAGTCTGATTCCTCTATATAAGATCCTTTGACCAACATGATAGCATTTTTCTTCATTTCTTGAATGTGCTTTGGTGGTTTTGCAGGAGGTTGGGTATTAAAATCAACATCATGTTGGGGAGACCCTGTATCAGATCCAGGAGAGATCCCAGTGTCATAGCTATCATCCCATTCCAGTTCCAGTTGTGTCTTTTCTCTCAGTGGTGTCACCTGAGAAGAAACATGATTACTAGGTGTTCTGCATTGCAGTTGGAAAATAGGCTGATCTAGGTTTTTGCCATCTTCTTCAGCTGGAGTTTGGATAAAGGTATATGGACTGGGATTTTCCCCATCATATGGAGCAGACCAAACTTCACAATCTTTCATACAGTGCAGTATGAGAGTCTGAGCATCCCAAAGGTATTGCAGGTAACTGATATCAACAGTTTCCCCGTATTTCACAATACATGTGGAGTCTGCAATGCTTTTCCTGGAGGGCTCTTTGGTGGAATCTGCAATGTAGTAGCACAAAGTTACAGGGAGAACTGAGGGGAAATTCAAACCTTCATTTAGAGATCATTGTTAATCATCTGTTTACATGGGTGTCACAATTGTAATTGACCTCAATATACAGTACTATTAAACAAGATGCAGATTTGATCCTAAGCATTTGAATTAGCTCAAAGAGGGAATATTAGCTGCCATACTGTCTTTCTCTAGGTTACCTATTTGCTTTGGACTGTGGTATTATACTTCTTCTTACTTTTACTTGCAAATGTAACTTTTGTGTATCACCTTACAAAATCTGGCTTTCAACAAACTACTGCAATAGTTTGCATTGCCAGCAGGTAAACTCCTGCATGCCAAGATCTTTCTGGTGTAATAATATAAAATCCTGATCTGTATTTCTGCTACAAAAACACACACTACCCCTGGCAAAAATGAGGCATCTGCCATTTTTTCTGAGAAAGTCAAAATAAAATAAAAAGAATCCAATTCTATTTTCTAAGGCATATTAGCTATCTATGTATAGCCCTTTAGGCCTCACCTAGACCTCTCCAGATGGGAGGATTTCAACTTTCAGAATTCTTGACATTGGGCATTTTCTGGTGTTAAAATCCAACCTTCTGGAAGATGACTAGTTTGGAAAAAGTTGTTATATAAATTACTGGATTTCACATGATACAATAGAGAAAAAAGAGATCCTCGCTTAGCACTGCCCAAATGGCACATCAATTTGTATGCCTCTAAATTGATCCTTTCAGTTCCTATTCTTATTATGGATTGAAGAAACTGTTCCTGCCTTTGATCTTACTGAAATGTAATGTCTCAGTAAGTCTCACTAAGAAAGGCAAACAAGAATAACCGTTTTTGTTTTGTAGCAAACAAATGAAATTTAACAAACGTATGAAAAGTCATATAAGGTTCTGCATATTGGCAAACCCTATTATACTTCTGTGGTATAGAATGACTTCCTTTGTTCTGGATTGCTCCAGAACATTTAGTTCACTGTTGACATTAAACAAGTTCAGTGAAGTTTTTTCATCATAAAGAAGTGGGTTTTTTTTCTCTCCACTAACATTGTGATGCTTCCTTTGTCTGACTGAATTGTCAGCCATAAACACAAAACAATGAGAAGTCAAAGATCATGTCACTGGTCATTAGAAAGGCAATTTCCAACAAACTTCCAGTAAATTATTTCAGCTGACCTATGACCAAGTTGTCCTGAGATATTTATGATGCCCTTGTAGAATAAATATGAAAGCTTCAAGCAACTGGCTAAATTTTATTGGTCTGCATGGATGACATTTCTTCTCCTAGAGAAATGGCTGCACTTCTGTTGAGTCAGAAAAAGGGATTTAATTCCTTCTATTTAGGTGCCATTTTTCAACTTGAGGATCCATATATTTTTATCTTTGTTTAACTGTCACAATAACCCCAGACAGGCAAGTTAAGCTGAATGGAAAACATTTCCCTAATGCTATTGGAAGTATGTGACAGAGCACTGGAACTATGGTGCCCCCATGGAAAAACAACAGGTAAATGTTGTGGCACATTTATGGTTGTTTTTTTCTGTATATACTGTAAAATGAGACAGCTCTCTTAAAATTTGCTCCTCCTCCTCACCCTCAGAATCATTACCACCATTGGTCCCTGAAGAAAAAGAGAAGAGAGTGAGGAAGGTAGGCAATAATTATTACAGAAGTCTGTTTGGGTGGCCTCTTCTCTTCCCATTCATCAAGGGAAAGGGTTTATAAGCCTGTAGAACAATAAATTATATTTATTGTTCTATAGGTTTATACAATCATATTTATTATACTCTTATTTAAACCCATCAATAGTTAACAATAAAAAGCCACTTTGGTAAGATGGTTATCCTGGTAAATTATTATCCTCACAACCCTGCGAGGTGAGGTAACTCACCCTGCAGGGTTGTTGTTGTGGGGAAAACAGGAGGAGGAAAGAGTATTAGGTATGTTTGCCGCCTTGAGTTATTTATAAAAATAATAAAGAGGGATAAAAAATCTTTTAAAAATGACATATTTATATTTACTTGTTATAAATACATATGTAATTTTTTTTGTCCTTGCCAATTGATTGTGATTGGTGCATAGACGTATGCTCCTTTTAAATCTTTTCATTTGTTTCAGTAAAGTGATTTGGATATGATGAATATGATATATGGTCATGAATAAAGGATGCATTTATTAAGCAGAATACAGTTTAGTGCCTTCCTTTTAACTGCTTTCTTAAAAACAGTAAAGAGTTTAGCAATTCTTGAAATAATATGCCACAACAATTTTGTGTAGATATTCTCTGGGCAGATACCATGAGTAAAATCAAATGGGTTCCCTTGCCTATAGGCAGCATTTTTTCTCATGTAAGTTCTAGTTTGCCTTCTACATTAGAGTGCTGTGTGTCATAAATAAAATTAAATTTGAAGGTGGTTTCTGTGAATATCAGAGTTTGAACAAGCCAGTTACACATGTAGAAGCACGAGAATTAGTACAATATTATCTACTGTGCAATCTAGTACATAACTAAGAATTTATTGGACAGTGCTAGAAGCCATTTTCATTCTAGTCACTGTTCTATGGGTCTAATAAAATATGTATTCTATAATCTATGCAGTACCTCAAAAATAACACATGAATGTGCAATAGCACAATTTGACGTGATTCAGCCCAAATGTTATTTGCCACTGAGTCAACACTGACTCTTAGCAATCACACAGGTACATTCCAGGATGAATCCAAGTGTTACTTAAACAGTAATTCATTGTTCCAGGACCAATTTTATTTCAATGGACCACTGGCCTATAGTGTAATTATAGGCAATCAAATTTATTAATATTATATGTTTTAATGTGGTTTGGAGTTCTTGTGCAATGGCCAGAGTCCATATGGATTAAGGCAGTACATAAATTGCCAAAATACATAGAACAAAATTAATGGGAGTACAGAGTACTGGATCAGGACTTTGAAATATAACACAACTCCTCACCAATTTATTGGCATGCTTAATATCAATTATCAATTCTTGAACTAGTTTCTATTTCTGTAAAGTAATTATTTTTTTTAATAAGTTAATTAAAATTTAAAAAATCACAATAAAAGATAATACAAAAATAAATAAATAAATAAATAAATAAATACATTAAAAAAAAGATTCTCCCCCTTTTAATAAAGCAACTTCCCACCCTCATGACAAGTAATAAATAATTTCATATTTTCTTCATCCCTCTTAATTAAGAAATATAAAACTCTTCATCCCATAACGACATATGAAAATACACCAAAAATACACAAATACACCAAAAATAGTTGCTTGAGATTTTCACATTAAATAACTAATGACAGGGCATGTTCTGGGCAATACTAACTCAATATTAAGCATAAGACAAATCAGACTTGAAATCATGATTACATTCAAGACTTACGTGATTCACGTAAACCAAAAAATGTAAGAAAAAATAAGTATTGATTGCCTAGACACAACTTACATTTTAGAAAAATTCTGATAACTACCTTTTCTTAAATTTATGTATCAAATGCTTTTACAGACTAAAATAATTTTCTAAAACATTTCTAAATATGATAGCTCTGAATATTATGTGGAAAAAGTCAAATTCAACTTAATATAAGATCTGCCTGTTTAGAAAACAGATACATGGTTACCTGACTCAAGATTTTTTTTTTTCCAGAGAATATAATCTTTTTGTTGCTTTTCAAAAGTCAGAGTAATACCACTTGAACAACAAACAGGAGTCAAGGCAAGAAGCTTAGCAGCAGATACAGAATACCAATCTCGTTCTCTCACAGCCCATCTCTGGCTGAACATGATGTGATTACACGGTATCAGGTACCTAGAAGAAGAAGAGCCTATCATCAAACTAAAATGGGGGGGGAGGGGGGGAGGACATTTAAATTAAAACATTAAAAAAAAACATCTTTTACAGTATGGCTGAGGATTAGGCTGCTGAGAAAATGCTATGCCTGCAATATGTAAAAAATAGAAGACTGCATTTTTGTTTGTAGAAATATAAGAATACAGTGACTTCTAGAGGTATTGACAGCCAAGTGAAGCAGCAGTTCAGGACAAACTTTGGACATGGGTTCCAGAAAATTTTCTATGACTGTTGCTTCTCTCAGCCAGAAAGGTGAGTGGCAAAAGAATCCTGCATTGTCAGAACCCTGGAAGGCAGTGGTTTCCAATGCAACGGTACATCACATCTCACTTGGTTCCAGAACATTATGGTCATGACAAGGTTACAATGAGGGGAGGATTAACCCTATCCACAATGTCTCCTATTCCTTCATATGCTGTTCAGGAAATTGCTGAAATTACAAAGAGGAAAGTGTTATACCACCTAATTAGCTAATATGATCTGGAAAAGCCAGGTACATTGTCTCTACTTGGCTAATCCCTGCAGAACCAATTGGGCTGGCAAAATAAAGGCACAATGCTTTGTTTTACCAGTTTATATAGACAATCAAATGGACTGATGACGGAGCACCTTCTTGTGCTGCTTAGATATTTCCTGAGCAGGACATGGGGTGAAAAGCAAACAGTGTTGGGAGAAGCACAGATCCCCAATCTCTTCTAAAATGTGTTCCTTCCATTAATTACTCCCTGCTTTCCCTGGAGGTAGAATCTCCAGTTGAAAAAGCTTGCCAACTCTGGAGGAAAAAAATGCATAAAGAAGGGAATTACATGATACCATTTTCCTTTTGGAAAGTAGGACTAAAACATGAGTCATCTAAGGTCACGTACTGCCTACTGTGCATACAAAGGTGAGTTAATTAACTGACCAGAAGAGGGAATTGTTGGGTTATTCCTGTCATGTAAACAAGGCCTATGTGAACTTAGGAAAGTCTAACTTTTCAACCTTGTCACTTAATTTCTAATAATCCTTCCCTGTCCTCTGCATAGTCGATAAAGAGAAATTTCCATTTGCACCACTCTCTCTACTCTTAAATTTCTGGTGAGCCCATTTCATCCAGGTAAGTGGTTCTGATTTTAAATCCCCCCCCCATTTTCTCTACATACTGAATTTTGCATCTACACTCATAGTAGATACCCCATATCTACACCCATAGGTTTAATTCACCATTTAAAATATATATGAAGTAATCCCAGGATACTAATCCTCACTGAAGAATTTGCATTGTAGTATCAGAAAAGAAAGTTTGATTTTACCTTAAAACTAGCTGCAGCATCACATCTTCACAATGCAAACTGATAAGTGTTTTGAACAATGCCAAGGACACCACACAAAGCTGGGAAATGATAAGAACAATATGAATGTACAATTTTTTATCCTTCCCAAAGTTTTTAAAAAAAATCCATACCTGAGAATAGCACCCAAACTGAATTCTGGTACATTTGAGAGAAATTACATAAATATTTTACTTTTGTTACATATCTACAGAAGAATTTAGTTAGCATGCCTAAAAGTATAAACCAAAGATAAACAGAGATATATGCCGGGTTATGGCAGAAATGTTTTCAGTAACAAGAGAAAGAAAAGAATTATGATATGGTTAAAAGAGAATTAAACTATAAGTTCAATATTCTCAAACATCTGCATGAGGATTTTGCTATGTTTAAATATGGATCTTAAAATGAAAAAGGATATTTTTTGTGCCTTCAGAGAATACCTTCAAACTTGTTACAAAAGATCACTGTTTCCAACATGAAAAATTATATAACAGGGAAGACTAATTTTAAGTACTGTAGTTCTCTTTGGCTTACACCTGGAAAGTTGTGTTGAAATATATAAATATATAATATATAAATTTAATAAATAAATATCTTTGTTACAATTTCAGAGGCTGTTAAATATTCTGGTGAATGTTCTGATGAATGTATATAATTCAAGAACATGCTCTCTGAAGAATGTTCTTTAATGTGCAAATTCATTTTTGTCATCAAAACCTGCATAGTAAAAGTCTACACTAAGAAGAAAGTTATTGTGTCTTCTTGCATTCTAGGTGGCATTTCACATGGACATTATTCGTTGTTTACATTATTTCCACCCAAAGCTTGTTATATTGTCAGGAAGTTTAATCCTCTCATCTTCCGCTAATTATGACTGATCCCCATTGCTCTCAATATATTGATAAAAAAAAAAGAGAAGAGAAATCAGAATATTCTCTTATAAGCAGAATATTTTCTCAGTACAAATTTATGAATCTGACAGTATGCTTCTTTAGGACCAGCCAATCTCTTCTGGCACTGAACCCAAGAAAAATTGTGGAATGTTGTAATTACTCTAACAATTTACATGGAAAGGATCATTATTGTTTAGATATAAGTAGGCACTTGTATGGAGCTACAGACACAGAAAAGTAAGAGCTAAATAAAATATAGGGTAGAAAATACTACAGAAACATTATGAATATAGTATTCTACTCATTTCAACTTTCTTCGAAAGAAATGAGATTGTGCTAAAAGTCAAAATATAATGAATAATGATATTCATTTTAAGCCACTCAGAATTGTATGATTCAGGCAATATACCGATAATGTTAAATAAATAAATTATAAACTGGCCTAATTAGGTTTGGCCTGCAAAAGCAGAAATGTCCCAACAACATAACTAACATTAAATGCGATAATAGCTCTATAATTTGTTACCAACCAGAAATGAACACTTGTAAATAAAGCGAACAGTAAGAAACATAAGAACAAATTTGTTCACACAAAGCATGCTGAGCAAGAACATCTTCATACTTTAGCTATAGGGTCATAATTAGGCCTAGCAAAAAGATTATGTGTAAGTTGTGACAGTATTCTAGATTCTTACAGCTAGAGGCAATAATTCAGGGTTCACTAGTTCAGACTTTGTTTTCTACTCAGAAAATTACACAAAATGTTTGATCTCTTTCTATAGTCCTTTCATATACAGAAACTGTATTTTGTCCAGCAAAAAAATGATACAAGAAAACAGATCTTGGAGATACAGCACAGGGTGAGATTGAACGAAAATTCATCTTGGAAGACTACTGATTTAATAAGACAGAATGGCACTATGTGAAGGAGAGACTTTACTTATTCTTTATATTCAAGGGGATATTGGTTTTGGTTTTAATGCTGTCATCAGCTGAAGATGAAGAGGTACACCAATATGAGGCCACTGGGCCACAAGTGGTCCCACAAGAGCTTTGGATGCAGCTTCCAAATACTTTCAAAAGTTATAATTAAATTGTAAACTCTAATGTGACATAGGGAAGAAAGTATTACATAAACAACATATTAACTATATTTAATTTTAATTACATACAAATGCAAATGCAATCAAATGAATTGTAGGTTTTCTTTGGGCTTCACCCAATACTTTTGGAAATGGGCCCACCCATCATGCCACTCAGAAGTGAAGTGCGGCCCTCAGACTGGAAAAAGTTTTACCCTCGATAAAATAATTTTAATTGTTCGTAATGTGTAGTTAGTTGAAATGAAGAGAGAAAGGAACAAAATAAAAATATTTTGTAGACTTGATCACTTGTACTTTATCCTACCAGCTATTATAAAATCTTTCTTAATATTGTTATATACAGGATAAACCAAAAATCAAGCCCCATAGGCCAATCACAATATGTTTTACTAATGTATTTTTTCAGAGAAAATGTTACTGTACTTAGGAATGTTCAAAAGTCATGTGTCCAATGAGTAAAGAAGTGTTTAGAAGAAAACAGCAACCAATTCAAACATTTAATGTAATTTATATACTAAACTGTCTATGAGAGCTGACTTTTAGTACACCCTGCATAATAACAATGTTGAACTTTTGTAATAATTTATTAGATTCATATCCTGCCTTTCCTCTAAGAGCTCAAGACAGCCTATATTTATTTTATTTAGTCAAACTTATAGGCCACCTTAGTCACACCCATAAATCTGCGCTAGACTCCCTCTAATGATTTTTCCTGACAATTGCCTGATGAGGTAAGGTTGGGCCAAGAGAGAGTGACTGGTCCAAAGTCACCCACTGAGCTTCTGTGGCGAGGGATGGACTTAAACCTGGGTATCTATGCTGATAACTGTTTATAGAAATCAGCCCAATTGTTAAATTATACAATGAAGAACTCATTTAGCATTACTGGTGCATTGTGGCATGCTCTCAATTTGTTCATAGATGGACAATTCTTCATAATGGCTAATCTCTCTATTTATCAAACCAATACAATTCAACAGAAACCACACTGGCAATTTAGCTGCTGAAATTGGGAGTTTCAGAGTAAATCTGCTTTGGAACTGGAATCATGGCAGAATATGTATGTGCACACACTCCCCCCTTAATCATATTTATTTGGCCCAAAATAAAGCGCCAGGCAAGGGGAGGGTCAGGAATGCACACTGAAGCAAATGTTTTTATTTACTGCTTCAGACTCCCATGAAACTGGAATCTGCTGTTATATTAACTATTTTTGTGACATAAATAACATACCACAATTATTCAGAAGAGGCTCTTGGCAACCATTTCATATCTGAAATATCCTTTACACTGCTAATCCAATGAAGTAATCAAGCTAGTTATATGGATATTATTATTACTAATGACACTGTATCAATCAACATTATATTAAACAAGTGTTTAGCTTTCAAATAAAGTGGACCACTTCATTTTATTTCTCTAAACTGGGATAGTGAAAAGAGAAGTTTATATAGGTAATTTCAAACTGTAAAAAAATTCAGTATCTTTAGTGTTTTATACAACCCCATATATTCTCTGTTTATTTAATAGATATAGAAGAACCAAAAATATGTTCCAGTGTAGTCACAAGAAAATAAATAAGTTTTATACTGCTGAAAGGATAATTTTACTGACAATTTGTGATTTTACTGTTTAAATTAATGGTTTTATGGTTTTAATTATTTATACAATTAAACTTTATTGTATTTCTATGGTTATTTTTAATGAAAGGAACCCAACTTGAGGATTTGATGTAAGTGAAATAATTGGAGACAAAACTAAATAAATAAAATAATAAATAGAAACTGAATATCTTAAAAACTTTACATATAGGTGCAAATCACTATGCCTAGGCATCGTATGCAAAATGTAGAATCAGTGTTAAAAGATTTTAAAGCTCTGAAGAGCTTTCACTTTTAATTTAAGATTTTTTTTAAACATATGACTGTAGTTTGTAAAAACATGTTTGGATTGAATTTGACTGGACTGGAGGCACTAAACAAAAATACCGCGACCTCCCCCCCCCCAATCCAATCAGAATCAAGGACAAAGAAAACTGAGGCAGGAAAAACTTTTAAGTATGAATTTATGGGGCTCAAATATACTTGGAAAGAGGTATAGAAAGAGATAAGAAAAATGAACAGAATTATCATCAAAGATTTAAAGACCATGTAATCCTGGATATGATTCACATTCTTTTGTGGCAAATGGTGTGATGACATTGTTTTATTGGCTGATCTGAATTTTGGGATGAGGGGAGCTGGAGGAATTTCAAGATTAGAAATAGACACGGAACCTCATAGAGTCTTTATATATCCATATTTAACTTCTTAAATGCAAAAAGAAAAAAAGAGCAGGAAATTATAGCACTAAAGTGGTATGGCTGCCAAATTTTGATGGCAACTGTTGATTATTGTGCATCAGGCCACAAAATGGGAAGCTGGAAGCTTACAAGTAGCCTGTAGGCTGCTTGTCCCTGTCCAAAGATATCCACTGTAAATCTGGAAGTTTGGTAAATGTTCAATGCCACTTAAGAATTTGTACAAAAATGGTTGGTTTATAAACATATTTAAGGATTAATTAATTAATTGTTACTGTATGATTAAACAGTCTATTCTATAATTACTCGTTTATTCCCTTCAGTAACATTCACTCAGGTCATATTCTTGTCATTCATATTTCTTTTTCATTTCTTTCATTTATGAAAAAGAAAACTTCCGTAGCAATGTTTTCTTAGTACCTGTCTCCTGGGTGCCAAAATTTTGTTTGCTCAGATGCTCTCATCCTTCAGGACCACTCTGAAGAAAAAAATAGTTGTTGCCCTAATACTATGCAACAGTCAGGTTATCAAGGAAAAAAAAAATGACCACTGCCAAATGGCAGCCATCTAGAGCAGTGTTTCTCAACCTTGGCAACTATAAGGTGCTGGCTGGGGAATTCTGGGAGTTGAAGTCCACACATCTTAAAGCTGCTGAGGTTGAGAAACAATGCTCTAGAGGATTTGCACAACTGCAAATGAGCTGCCACTTTACTGAGTAAGTGAAGAATCAGAAATGGAGGAGAAAACAGTAAGAACAATTCCATTTTCTTAACTAACAGAATTCATTTCACCAAATGAAAACTGAATTCAGCAACTGAACAAGGTATCTTGTTATATTTTTCAGTCCTTTCAAAATAAATACACATTCAGATGCAAAGAACACTATGGCCTAACTGAAATTGAGACGTGGTGCGTATGTGTGAATGTGTCTAATGATTAATATTGCTATGAAAGACTGTTGGGAGCTTTGCAGAAGCCATTGAGAGTTCTAAAAAGAAACCAGGACGCAAGGATGAATAAATAAATATGGAACACAAATTGTGTATATGGGAGTTATTTATCCACACTCTTGGTTCTGTTAAAACAGGTCTGCTTTCTGATCGTAATAAAACAATAGTTGGCTACAAGAAACAAAATGAGGGTCTAGTTATAAGTTGAGCTTCGTGGAAGCCAGAGCACAAAGTGGGCAACAAGACTGTTAAACCACATCAGGGTGGACACTGATAGAACAGTTAGTTGATAGCAACAGAAAATATAGTTACTTACTCAATTTCATTGAATGGAATCTATAATAAATGTTGCTGTTATCTATAATATTAACAGCAAATTTTGTCTATATGGAATCAATCATTACGTACAGTGCATTCGGAAAGTATTCAGATCCCCTTCACTTTTTTCAATTTTGTAATGTTGCAGCCTGATACTACAATCGCTCAT